TACACCCTGTAGCGAGTAAAACTCTAACACAGAAAAGACCTGTCTATGCTGCCTCAGAACGCCTCGTTGGAGATTTCTCTTTTTCCATTTGTTTCTTCCTGGAAACGCATGACGTCATGCAGTTCCCGGAACCAAAATGGACCAATCCGCGGAGCTCCTCACACCAGGATCCCTTGGCGTCACTATCAAACGCAGTGGGGGGACCTTTAGTGTAAATGTTCAACTAACAGGGAGTCCCATTGACTTGCATAGAGCTCCCTGGTTGGTAATAGACGAGTTGGGATCGCGGAGAAATGCTCTCCGCAGACCCATTCTCACAGCGTTTATAAACCTTTTTCTTACTCAATATCAAGCCACACTTATTGTTTTTACATCGGCTGTGAGTGTTTGTGTGTGCTCAGGATGAGTTTTGCGCTGTCCTGTTGTATCGCCGACCCGGAAACCACACCAGTAAGCCAGCTCAATGAGCAGCGAGCCTCGCAACGTCCCGACCAATCAGAGCACACTGGGCTCACAGGGAGGGGGGGGGGCAGGAGCTCCAACAAGCCGTTCAGGACAGAGAGTGAATAGACATACTATACAGAGATGCTGTATGAGAAACCAATGTGAGTTTGGAAAATTGCACAGTATAAATCTACTTTAGTATACCTCAGAAATGGAATTATGATCAGTAGAAATGGCCATGACATAGGACCTTTAAGCCATCATGTGACGAGTTTGTATGTGATTTACGTTTTTTTTTAAATGGGAAAATTAGACAATCCTGTCAGAACTGGCTCATTATGTGCTTTTATTCAAGGATACTATACAAAGCTTCTTTTGAGCCTTATAGCTAGTTTCAGCTCATTATTCAGCCATCTGGCCCGCAACTTTACTGTTTTGGTTGACTCTCGTAGCTCTCATAGTGTTGTTTTTAACCGCATAATGCAGCTGTTTTCGGATAAAGAACTTCTTCAAATCCACTGTATGCTGCTACCTGTTCATCACCGAACAGCAGACTGATGCAGTTAGCAACTAGCTGGTGAACATTGAGGAGCATTTAGCAGCTGAAGAGACAGATATTTCAATTGGGAACTGGTGGAGACCAAAACTGAGATAAAAGAGAATCCATTTTGGACTCCAACATGAAGGAAAAATCATTTACTGCATGTTTAAACCTATAAATCAAGTCAAGGTTTTCGCTACTATTTAGGATTAGAATTTGTTCTGAAATATCTATTCAATGTATTTATATTATGTATTTAGCGGAAGGGTCTAGCATTTCGAGTGGGATTCAAATTGTCGTCATACACATGAAAGACTCACGGGAAATATGTTATCAAAACTTATCAAAGCTTTACTGCTCCATCTTCTAATGAAGGGTCAAAACATTAGTAACTAACTGCTAATACCTTATCATTTCTGCTGCTGCCTTTTCACAATAAAAGCTGGCCAAACACAACACAGCATTGATTTTATTGTTTTTTTCTATTGTTGTGTTAGAAAACACAAAAAGAGGATGAATGCAGATATGCAAACCGCAGAGAAAGTATTAGAGCCAAGTTTAACCCTGACACACCTTAACGCCTACACCTGTTTGTTGAGGACAATTCATTTGACATTTTGTTGATAGTAGATAGTCGAGACAGACAGGAATCACAGGGAGAATAAAGATAGGAGTTGACAAACAACCCCAGACAGACTTGAACCAGGGATACACCTGAATTGTTTTGAGGTCCTGTATTCTCCACTGACCTGTGATGGCCGTGTTGCAGCCGGCACACTTTTTGGCATACAGGCTGCTGAAACACTTGACACAGTACGGACTCTCCCCCTGCGAGGTGAAGGGTTGGCCAGCCAGCGGAGCTTTGCAGCCCGTGCAGAGAAAACACTCTTTGTGCCACACCTCGTCCTTGTAGGTCACCCCTCCTTTAGTCAGAGCCTGCAGGACACAGAAGGAGTCCAATGGGAGAATTTAAGAAACTTATTTTCAGTGACACCTTGTTTTTCTACACAAATGGAGATTTCCACCCCATGTTTTTACTGACACGTGTATGGTGAAAAAAACACTTAATTTTATTAAAATAAATGTTATCAGTCAAAAAAGAATTGTGTATATAAAAACCATTTTGATAATTGATTTATCTTTTAAGTCCTTTTAGAAGCATAATTCTCAAACTGCTTCTCAGTAGCTGAGATTTGCAGCTGTTCTGTATTTTATAGCTTTGTAAATTAAGTATCTTTAATTTTGGGCTTATGGTCTAAATAACGAATCATTGGAAGTTGTCCTCTCGGTTTCTGGGAAACACACATTGGTGGATTTGATCAAATATACTGTATGAATCATTGGAAAAGTTCTGTACAGATCGATCAGAATCCTGTTTCACCTTCTTGCAGTGGTTGCACTGAGGAGCCACCCTGCCCTCGTAGCACGGCACACAGTAGTAGTTGTTGTCGTCTGGGATGAAGGCCTCGGCACCGATCGGCTTCTCGCAGCCGTGACACACAAAACAGTCCTCGTGCCACGTGGAGCCGCCGTACTCCAACAGCTTCGACCCTGTCAGTGGAAAAGAAAAAAGGAGCAGATGAGAATGAACATTTACATTTTTGTAAAAGTGTGCTGAAATACTCCCTGACATTTGCATCCTTTGTGTGTGAATTGGGCATTCCTTTGATCTCTGATTATGTGCTGTAAATCATTATAAGCTGGAATGAAATCTGATAGCATTTGTCACAATGAGAGAACCAGAAGTGATGATTCAGTGTGAAAGCTCAACCTGTTCTTACACAGCCCTCCTGCACCATACAATTACCTCAGATTATCTTGAATCAAAACAATCTGACAAGCTGCAACAAAACAATGCTCTCAAACTGGCCTCCTATTTATTTTTCAGTTTTAAGTGGCTGTTTTCTTTGCTTTGAAACACATGCTTCACTGAAGAGGTTTATAGAAGTAAGGAGCCAGTCATGCCTCTGAGTTTCATTTAATCACGGGGCTTGTTACAACCTTTTGGGACCTGAAGTGCAACCCAAAGGAATGACAGTGGGATAAACTTTTAGGAAAACGGAGCTGCATTTAAAGGCATTCCAGGCTGAGCAGAAACTAAAGGAAATCACTGCTGAGTTCAGAGAATAACTGGTGAGTTTTAATATCCCACACTACCCACAGGCCCCTGGTAATTTTCAGTCATCCGACACCACTGCTGTACTGATGTCGTCACAGCGGCCAGAGCTGAAAAAAACCCTGCCTTGGGATATTTTCAGCAGAGCAAGGAAGCAATCATCCTGTCACATATTTAGCTGTCACACCCTGGATAACAACAAAGGAATTTGCCCTTTTATCCCCGCACAGACAGGGTGTGAACTTTTTAGACTATTTGAGTAATTACTTAAGGATGTGTCCCCGAGGAGGTTTTTTAACTTGGTGTTGGAGGAATGAAGAGTCTCTATTGTCGTTACCTGGCATAACTGTCTTGTCGCAGGACACACACTTGGAGGAGAACTCGCTGCAGTAGCAGTCGCTGCACACCAGCGCGGCCTCCTGGCTCGTGAAGGGCTCGTCTGCCAGAGAGCGGTCACAGCGGAAACAGCGGAAACAGTGAGAGTGGTAATGTCTGTCCTCATAGAAGAGCTCCTGGAAGAAGAGGGAAGTGAAACTGAGCAACCTGTAAAACCAGTCAGGTTAAAAATGGCCCCATAATAAAAAAATGCTAAAGGATTTGAATTAAATCAGTTTTTTGCCCAATTATGTAAGGGACAGTTCATTTTTAAAATGCCTTTCAGTTGAAACCTTGTTTACCAAACCAAAAAATCCACGGTAAAAAAATGCAATTATAAAACTACATGATATGTGATTAGAATGGAGGTCACAAAAGGAATCATACACATTCAGCAGACTGGATAAAACAAAGAAGAATCACAAGATGATATCAATCAAAACAGAAGTTTAAAAAAGAAATAATAGTTAATCTAATTAATTGGTTTGGATTGTCATGTAATGTAAAGAAGTCTTTAAAGTAAAATTAAAGCAGCTCCAGAGCAAAACTAGGAATATTGAGAAAGACTACACTGTAGGTAGCTTTTAAAATAAGACGTAGCAAGTGTTTTTTTATTCTAATTAATAAAAGTTGTAATCTGAAGAAGTAAAATGCTTGCTTGCTCAATCAAATACTCCTTTGCTATACACACAAAAAAGTTTGCTAAACAATCTCTTCATCCATCTCGTAGGACATGGTAGTGAAGTCAGATATTGAGAGAAGGATTATTGTGTTGTTGGTTTTGGTCTTCTTATGGCTGATAACACAACATATATAAATGAATCCTTTCACTGTCAAAATATGAGAAATCAGACATTTAACCTTAAACTCTAGGTTGATACAAAAATTATTTCTATTTTATGGTTCCTCACACCTTGATTCATTGTTTGCTGCATAGAGGTCAGGGGTCACGGTCAACAACAGGACTAAGTTACTTGTGTTTTGGATGTTTTTGGATGTTTGCCCACATGAGTTCAACCCTAAAGATTATTTATTTCCACGACACCCTGCTGTGAACAGTAGAGTATGAGAAAAAGCATTGGAGAAGTTTTTTTGTGCATTCCCTATTCTTCATTGTCAGTTATACTCAGAATAACACTGTTTTCTTTTTTTAATCCAACAGCTGCATGTGTTCCAGTTCATCTACAGTTCAGACGAGCTCTGTGATGAATGGCTCAATTGAACGGTGGGTGAAAAACTTATTTTTGAGGCGTGGAGTTTCACAGTAACAGAAACAACTAAAGCAGGAGGGCGACGGATGGTGAAGGATGAATGTTGTTGTGTCTTGTGTTTAGGAGGGACGGCCAAAGAAAGCAGAAGTTGAATTTACTGCCGGTCCCTCGCAGGGAGCACATAATTCACAGCACACTGATGGCCTCGTGCAGGCTGTGGGTGTTTCCTACAAGACAGTGTTTCTCATTTTCACTAACTAAGGCTTTTCACAATCTCAAAACAGATTACGGATAATTTAATGTTCTGGATGTAGAGATATGTTTTCCCGGAACTCCAGTAGTTAGAACATTCATCATAATGCAATCAGATATCAATGTACTCAGATGATTAACCTCTGTACTAGATTGAACAATATAATGTAAAAAAAATAACCTAGGGCTCTGGGGAAACTGTGATTGTCATTTTTAACTGTTTTTAAATGTTTAATAAATCTAATGATTAACAGATAATTAAGAAAATGACCATTAGATTTATCATAAAGGAAAAACCAAATTGTTATCTGCTAATTTATAAAATCATCTCATAGATTGCATTCAAGTCTTAATGTAAGCTAAGTAGAAGTATAAGAAAAGGAAGTAAGTGAGTAAGAGCCATTGAGTAAATGTACATAGTTACTTTCCGTTAGCATTAGAGCTTACCTTGGCATTATGTCCGATGACTTCTTTACACTCCTGGCAGGTTTTGGCATACAGGCGGTCGTAGCAGGGGATGCAGTGGGGCTTCTCCTCCACCTGGATGTATTTTCGCCCGCACAGGGACTCGTTGCATGTTTTGCAGTCGAAACGGTCGCTCATGATGTCTTTCTTCTGTCTGAGAGAATGCACAGAGACAGTTTAGTATTTCATATCAGCAAGAAGACAGCGCAGAAAGGAGGAGGAGAAGGGAGATGAGTAAAACAGAGAGAAAGCAGGGAGAAGGGAGGCAGACAGTTTTTGGATATACAGCTGGGAAGTAAGACCAACAGGAGAGACAGAAATGGGAGTAAAAGAACAAACCTTTTAAAGAGCTACAAAGTGCTCAAAGACACTTTTTACACAACTTAAAGAGATACTAGAATGTTTAGCACGCTTAAATGCATCCACTATTTATTTTGGAAATGAACTGGAGGGGATCAAGCATTGAACCCTGTGGGACACCTCGACCTGGGCAGACTATGAGACAATGGGCCCCTGGGCACAGACATGCAAAAGTCCCCACTTCTTCTCCTAAATATACAAGGGCACACATACTTTGGAATTCTTTAGCCTCCTTTTGCTATTGCTTGTAACTCTCTGTAGTCATCTCTCTGTGGGGTTGTGTCTTTTTGTGGTTGTTTAGTGTCCTTTTTTATTTGTTTTGTTCCGATAATGTTGTTTTTTTTGTTAGTGGTTGCTTTGCCACTTTTTGCATTAGTTTGTAGGCATTGTGAGAATCTGGATAGTTGTTTTGTGTCACTTTGTTGATGTTTTGCCCTGTTTAAAAGCTCCAATGAGTTTCTTTGTGGTCTCTTAGTGTCTATTTGAAGATGTTTTGTATTTATTTGTTTTGGTCTGGTGATTGTCTTCTGTCTCCTTGAGGGACATATTGAAGGTAAATGCCATGGGAGTATGTGCCTGGCAACCTCAGCACAACAATTTCCCTTTGGCTAAATAAAGTTCCTATCTTGTCTTGAAGTAAAGGTGTGGTCGATGGTGTTCAAAGCAACAGAGGGGTTGTAGAGGTTAAACATTTTCAAATGAACAGAGTCTAAGAGGAGGAGGTTGTTGGAGACTTTCTAATAAGTGTTGAATCTCATTTAGATTAACATTTAACTTGTACGAAATGGAGATACCCTACCAAAAGACATTATACTGCAGTTACAGTTAAACATTGCAAGCAGAGAAAGGCTGAACGAACCATCTAACACAGAGTAAATGTATTGTAAATCAGTAATGTAATTATATAACTGCTTCTCCAGTTTGATCACTACCCACTAACAAGTAAAAGTTAATAATGTCTGCTTCTCCCTCCCCCCCACTTTTGAACGAAACCCCCTGTGGTGGTTTGGCGTTGAGAAAGAGAAACCAAACAATATTAATTGTTAGGAGCTGAACTGAAACAGCCTTCTCTATTTCAAAGGCTCTCTCGAGGGCTTTTTCATCTTTTTTGGCCTGTGTTTAATGGGCTCCTTTGTCTAGTTTATACTTTTCTAGTTCAACCAAATTCAGAACTTTCTCTTGTGTTCTGTAACAAAATACCATGCTTGTAATGCTGTTAGGATGTTTCATTGCTGCGACTTAGTAATTACTCTGATCCAGACAATATACTGTGTATTCTATGACAGCTGTCAACATTTCATATCACTTTCACACAACATAGTACTCTAAATATTGTACTTCTTTATTGAATAAAAAAAAGACTGTCTTAAGAGAATACCGGTTATATTCTTCACTAGTACAACATTCTGCAGGGTACTTTTAATTTACTCCAAAAGCCCAACTTTGTTAAACATTTAATTGGACCTCAGTTGCTCATAAAATATTTGAAGTAGGAGTAAATTACATCCTAAATCCCATTTTCCTCATTATGGAGCTTTTTATGACAGCTCTTGATGCTTGCCTGGGTTTATGAGACTAAACACATTCCCAATAAATAAAGATGATTGATCTCCGTAAATTACCTCAATTTAACTCCAAGCAGATCAAAAGCCGGGGAGAAACAGGGTAAGATGGAAAATAAAGTCTATAATATATGATAGGATAATGAAAATAATCATAATACAGTCATTGTAATGCTTTAAAAAAAACAAAAAACCTTAATGACAAGTTTCGATTCACAGCTTAAATACATTGAGTCTCTAAGCATCAGTTTAAGGCGCCCTTTTTGAATAAATCATTGAATCGAGAGCTTGTTGAGCAGAGGAAGGACAGGTGGAAATATGTCTGGGAACACTGACAGTAACATCATCACACCATTATGACTGCACACAGTGAGGCATTAGCAGGGTATGTGACCCCATGTTCTGCAGCAGCGAAGGGAAATGAGCGAGGAAATGAAGTGTGGGAGGTTAAAATACCCTCCTGTGGAACAGTTAAGACAGGCCAGACATGACTCAGAGAGATATATACAGTGTGGATGAAGATTATGGATAAGGTCTCTAAGTTTGGGTATATGTTCATGGTCCGGACCATTATGTCTGGAACATTCACAAAGGCAGACACTTGAATATATTTTACTTGGAAACAGTAATTGTTTATAATTTCTCCCCCTATTTTAGTCACAGCATGGCTTTGACATGTTTTTATAATGTCAGAAAAGAGGAGGTGGGTTCAACAATGTACAGCTGAGAAGCCGTGTGGCTTTGAAAAATCCCTGAAGGGATTGAGGAATGAGCCGATAGCCCCCCCCCCCCATCCTAGCTCCCTCTGGAAGACGTCAGCGAAACGATGAGAGGACCCAGACCACAGTGTAACCCAATGACGACCACTCTTTTTACACAAAAATACACATTTTATAGTGCTGCTACGAAGCTGGTAAGAATTAAAGGTCACTCGTTTTCCAGATCTAGACATTAATCGTTACTGCATGATAGCTAACCAGAGGTGGAAAGTAACTAATTAAATGTACTCAAGTACTGGACTTGTTTCAAATGTTGAGGTTCGGGTTTGACTGTTGGTCTCATGAAACACAAAGTGTGAAAGTTTCACTTTAAGTAATCTTGACACCATTTCTTAATATTTTAGGTATTCATACAAACCAAACTGATCAATTATTGAGGTAAAAAATCCTCCTATTAATCCATAATGAAAATAATTGTTGGTTAAAAGTTCAACATGAGCTCCACCTTGACCTACGACAACAGTAAAATGCAGCTCTTACATTCATTAATAGGTAATAATAATCTAAAGGAATAATTGGTAAAACAGTCACAGGGGTAACATTTTCAATGTACATTTTGATATTAGCACGTTTCCTCAAGGATCTAAATTCTCCATGCACCACTGACATTAACCTCCAAGTATTTGCATGTGGTCTGCTTAGGAGTCACCATGAAAGTGCAGTTTACATTCCTCATGTCTGTCGGCTATCAAACATTTTGTTTCTAATAACCAATGATGCAGCATTTTCGGATAAACATAAAAAGATAAACATGGCCTGCTCTCGCTCATGTCCTACAGTCGATGCCAGAATCAGAAACATAGACTTTTTCTCTCATTGCAATGTTAGCACGACACAGAGGACATCCCTGCTGCATCCCTCCTCTCCGCAGATAACAACGCTGCTTCCTCTTGCAGGGCATCAAGCTGGGTCAACAAAACAAATTGGACCAAACCAAACTGAGAGAAAACCCCACATCCTCTGTCTGTTTTCTGTCCGATTGCTGTCTGGTTGAGGAAATCAGTCCAACTTCCCTCCTAAATTGTCTAAAGAGGTTCAGGCTTCTATTCTCGTCCGTCCATGTCTACATTGAATGCAGTGATAGAACAATGGCTTCCCTTCCGGACATAGTCTTCCCAGTTCTGAGCTTAATGTTTCTCTTCCTGAGCCACAACATCTGCGAACACATTTGTGGTTTTCAGCTGGGTTTTTTTGTCATCAAATTCTCCTTTAGCCGTCCAATAGAAATAACAGCATCTCTTAACAACCCATTACTGTTGAAACAAGTATGTTATGGTTCCTATAGGACAGTCCAATATAACTTTATAGTCAGCTATAAAAAAAGGCAAATATGCTAAGAATCACACTGTAGGAACATTTGGGTGAGAAAGTGAGCATTTATCATGATGCAGCGTTAGCTTGGCATGAAGACTGAAAGCTCTTTACAAATCCCCAAAATGCCCATTAAAACGGACTTTTTAAAATATTTCTGTTTAGTCCAATACACAAACAGACATGTTTTTCTACATTTCTGTCCATTAAGGGATTAAAGTTGTTATTGTGTGAGTTTGGTGTTTACCAAGGTTTAGTCTGGATTGACCAAAGTCACACAATAACACAAACAAAGGACTATTAACTCAGGTGTTATGCGAGGAAAATACATTTTTCAATGAAGTCTGGTGGCTTAGATACCGGTTTCAGTTCCCCATCAGAAATGACTCTATACTGCAAGGTAAAGCAATGAAAACATACACTCAAACTGATATAGATTTGTTTTTGCCATGGCCTTTTTCAATAGGTTTTGTTGACTTCTCTGTCCACAGCAGTTCATTTCTTTGCTTTTATGGATGAGTGCCAACCATCATCTACTGCAGGTTAAAGACTATGGACAAGAACCTCATATAACCCGCCCTCAAACGATCCAAACTATCCCTTTAAGGTCATAATTGACATCAAATGAACATCTGCTAAGAGTCTGCTTATCTTCACACCCTCCAGACTGTGTGACATTAATAGTCTGACACAGTGACTCACATGCAGACAGCTCTTTGTTAAGGAGGTTTTCACTTTGCTCTACAGGTGTCCTCTTGAATCACACCCAAGAATACTTGTCGCCCCTGTTCTCCTTCTCAACACGGGACATTAAAGTAAACACTCCATCCTACCTAAGTACTCGCTCTTTAGTTGCACGGCAGCTGAAACTATTTAAGCCCACAATTCACCTTGATGAGTGGACATGTTGAATTCTCCTCCTGATACACTGTCTGTCCCGCTGAGAGATTTATAAGAGTGTCTTTGGCTCTGAGCGCTTTGTAGTGGTAGCCAAATGGCAACTGTCTCCCAGGCCTCCTGTCTCATGTCCCTTCATGGCTCGCTGCTGTTGTTTCACTCCTCTACAACCCGGACACTTTCTTACGACCGGAGCCAGAAAACACTGCTGTTCCTGGTGCTGGGTGTTAGTGTTTATTTTTCCC